AACCAGACGGCTGGCGGTTCAAACCCACCAGCCACTCCTCGGAAGGAAGGTTGGGCAATCCTACTTCCGTAGTGATAACTGCCTCTGAAACCCAAGGAGGGGTCGCTATGAGTCGGGTTTGACTTGACGGCACATAACAACAACAACAAGAAGCAATAGTATTTTAAAAGTTGGCATGGCTGTGGATGGTAGGTAGTTTCATAAGGAATTAACTTTATTTTAACACTATAAGATATTGATATTTTATAATATCAATAATCTATAACTTATGTATGTAGATTCAGCAAATTATATATAGTATCTTGTCTTGAAAATTTTTTAAAGGAATCAAAACCATTGTTTTGGGAACAATGTATTTCTAGAATCATTCATTGTCATAGTTCAAGACAATTAGCCCATCTTTACCAGAATATCTGTACCAGTTGCAGTCAAGTAGAGCCTAATTCATGGCTATCCCATTTTGTTTCAGCTGTGCTCCACAAGGTTTTCAGTGATTGATTTTTCAAAAGTAGATCACCAAGCCTTTCTTCTGAAGCACTTTTGGTCTGGTCTTAACTTGGACTTCCAAACTGAAACTTTCAGTGAGCAGTTGAGCACCGTTAACTGTTTGTACCACTCAAGGACTCCTTTACCCAGAATAGGAAATGTTTTCCCAAGATCGTACACCCCCCTGAATTGTTCTCCAAATAAGGATGTGGTCTGATTTTGAAATCTGTTAGATACTATTAGATAGATTGCTATCAGTAATCCCATTTCCTCACAGGTCTATATGATCCCAGGCAATTCCCACTTTTGGTGGAAAAGGAACAAGTTACCAATTCCAAGTCAGGAATCCTAGTTATTTATTTATTTATTTTTGGCTGAACTGGTCAAATACTCTGTTGAACAGATAAAGAAACTGAAACTCGGAAAGCTTAAATATCTTCCCACAAGACCTAGATCCAATTATGAGTCTAAAATATCCCATTCACTGGATTCTGATATCCTAATCAACCCCCATCCATCCTCCCTACCCTCAGAAGTAGGCCAACCACAGTGCTGGCCATGGCAAGTGGCTGGCTCTGAAGAGCAGGCCAAGGAGTCCTGTGGAAGGGGTCTGCAGTAAGGCACACGGTGGACTCGCTTATGTCTTGCCCTTCACTTTCTTTCCCTCAATCTTATTTCAGCCACTTTTGTGGGAACTGCCACCTCTCTTCCATTTCTCCACCTGTGTTGCCCTCTTTAAGTACCCTGGTCCTGGCTCCCTCCTGCCGCTCTCCTAGGTGCACTGGGTTGAGGGCAGCGGTCACAATTGCCTGGAGGTCACGTCAACACACAGGGTCCAGGGAGCCACCAGGAGCCTCCCCATCCTGGTCACTCCCAGAGGCCCTGGCAGCGGTGGGCTCGCTGGCAGCTGGGCTGCGCCCCGCCAGCTCTCGCGCGGAGATTCCAGTCCAGCTGCCCCGCGCCTGACCTGCTGGTGCCAGTGCCCTGAGGGTGTCTGGGTCTCCGCAATTTGCTGCCCTTCTGCCGCTGTCTCACCAGGCTCTCACGCTCAGAGACGAGGGCAAAAACAGAATCCCAGACCCAAACTGGGACCCCCACCCACTTTTGGCAGGCATCTCACCTGACAACTAGAGTGGCGGGGGAAGGGCTGGGAGCATCTAAGCCCAGGAGCCAGCGGAGCGCCTCCGCACCATTCTCGCACCCGTGCCCTGTACCACCATGGGCACCCAAGGGATCTATTCCCTGATAGACACCACCCCGGCCAAGACCATCCTGGTGTACCGCAACGGGGACCAGTATTACGTGGGCAAGAAATTTGTCTTCAATCGGCGGCGAGTTGCGTCCTTTGAGGCCTTCTTGAACCAGCTGAATGAGGAGATCGAGGTGCCCTTTGGCGTGCAGCGTATCTACACGCCCACGCACGGCCGTCAGGTCCAGGAGCTGGACAATCTGCAGCAAGGGGGCAAGTACGTGGCTGCTGGAAGAGAGGGGTTCAAGAAGCTAGAGTAAGTGGTGCGCACGGGTGGGGTGGGGTGGGGGCCCTCTGTGGGAGATCTGTCCCAAGTGGAAACAGTTGTCCTTTTATGCTCTCCTGGAGCTCTGGTAGCAAGTACCTAGACATCTGCTAACAAGAAGGGTGGCAGTTCAAACCCATTGACTAAACGGCACTTTGGTTTGGTACTCTGAACATTCGGTGTCCTGGCATGAGTAGTCCTTTAGGCTATTTTCTTAATTTCTTTTTGTCTTACTACTCTCTGAGGGCACAGAGCATGTTTAATTTATCTTTGTAACTCCTGTTTGCATCATAGCTCCGGGACGTGTATGTGGCCTGTAAAAGCACTGAGGTCCCTGTGTGGGTGCCTTCTCCGTCCTGAGTTAATTTATATTTATTTCATTGTTCTGAAGAGCCCGAAGATGCCCTCTCTAGGCCTCTTCCTCTGGCTGTCTCACTCATCCTTCTACATTGATTTATTCAGTATGTAGGTATTGAGTGCCTCCTTTTTTCACCTAGTTGCTTGGGAGAGACATATTCTTGAAAAAAAATGCAGAAAAATCTCTGCCCTTGGAAAAGTACACACTTAAAGGGAAGGGATGGGCAATCTACAATCAATATGTGCATGTTATAGACCATTAGAAAGGATTGAGGAAAAAGGGTGAGGTGGTCATTTGCAATTTAAAGTAAGATAGTCAGAACAGTTCTCTTTGAAATGTTAATGTTTGAAAGAAGATTTGAAGGAGTAGTTAGCTGTGAAGCTGTAAACTGAAGGAAGTGCACTGGGAGTGTATCCCTTCCACAAACCAGGTCAGGCTGGGAGTTCTGTGTACCTGGACCATGCATTTTTCTATTAAAACCCTTACTAAAGAATTTAATTGGCCTATTTACAGTGTCTCTTCCTTTAGGCAAGGAGAGACTCTGTGACTGTTTATTTCCACCTTACTGGCATGTAAGGAGCTCTGGTGGTGTAGTGTCTAGGGCATTTGACTGCTAACCAGAAGGCTGGTGGTTCAAACCCACCAGCCACTCCACAGAAGGAAGACTGGGCAATCTACTTCCATACAGATTTACTGCCTCGGAAACCCAAAGGGGGTCGCTATGTGTTGGAATCGACTCGATGGCAGTGAGTTTGGTTTTGGTTTTTGGCACATTAAGCAATGTGACCTGTAGTAGAGGCTCTGTGAATGCTGGCTGATGAGCAAAGAAATTGCTTCCTTAGAATCTGCTTAGATTAAGACAGTAGTTCCAGGGCATGTCATCTCTCCTGGGGAAATACACTTGTGTATAAATGTCACAACCACTATGGAAAACTAATGATAATTGATTGGCCATATTCAGGCAGTCAGTTATACTGAAGGATGTCCATTCAAAATGTTAATTTGATTCTTTTATTTTGGTTAAATCTGAGACTAGTATTACAATCCCTTTGTCATTTTATTGCACAAATGGTTACATAACACTTTCATTTATACCCTCTCTTTCCATGAGTGCCTCAGATTATTAATAATTTTTCTAGATTTTCTTAGTAACTCATAAAAATTCCTTTGCAATCCTGATATCAGTCTTTCAGTTAATCAACATATAGCTATTGTGCATTTGTTTGTATAGGGCAATCTTAAGGGTGCTGCAGAGGCTGTAAAGGCTTTATAGTGCATGTTTTGGGAAGAGAAGGCATACAAATGAGAAAGTGGTACCTACTATGACATAGACTCAGCTATAATTCTGTGTAGGCACAGAGCATCAGAAAAGGCTTCCTTTACAGAATGGAAGGGGCCAAAATTGTTAGAATATTTTAATTTCTAAATCTTCCATGAATTTCTGACCTAACTCAGAAAAATCACCTATTTTTTGTGTGCCTTTAAAGATATTATGTATCTTTACGTTGTTGCTAATTCTACTTGTTTTATTATATAATATATCACATATAGAGAAGAATGTATAAAATTATGTGTACAGTATAAAGAATAGTAATAAAATAAACTTCTGTGTAAACCACAACAAAGATTAGTAAAAAGAACTTTGCCAGTCTTTTAAAAACCTCCCGCTTGAACCTCTGTCCTTTGCCTATTCAAATAACCATCCTTTTTCAATAATCTATCCCTGAAGTATAGATTGTTTCATGTTTTATGTTTGTGAACTTTTATATAAATGCAATTATATTTTATGTTTTTTTTGTAACTTGCTTTTTATTATATTTGGATAAATATAGTATTATATTTAGAAGACTCATCCATATTGATAGCATTTAGCTATAGGTCATTTACAACAGAATTTATTTATCCAATCTATTGATGGATAATTTGGGTCCTTTTTACTTTTATGCTAAAATGACCAAAAGCTATAAACATTCTTTTATATTTCTCCTGGTGCATATGGGAAAGAGTTCCTCTGGATGTGTTAGTTATCTCCTGCTGCATAACAAGTTACCCCAAACTTACTTGCTTAAAACAACATTTATTCTCTCACAGTTTTTGTGGCCAGAAATTTTAGAACAACTGAATTGGATGGCTCTGGCTCAGCTTGTCTCATGAGGTTGCAATCAAGATGCTGACTGTGGTTATCTGAAGGCTTGACCAGCATTGGTGGTTCACTCTCATGGTTGTGACAGGAAGGTTTAGTTGCTTGTCATGTGAGTGTTCCCGCATGGTGACTTGGCAGCTGGCTTTTCCCAGAGTGAGAGATCCAAGAGGAAGCAAGGCTCAAGCCACAATGTCTGTTATTGCTGGTTTACTTTTATATTGTCTTCTTTATCTATCTGCCTAGTTAACTTTGACTATGTGCTGGATATAGTATCTTAAAAATATTTGTGAAGGTGATTTGAGGAATAGGATGACATCTTTTGCCAAAGAGGATTTTTGTGTGCTTCACTAGATACTTGTGTCATCAGGAACTTATAATCACCTGAATCCAGTTTCAGAGTATAAGATAATTTGGGCCACCTAGATGACTTGCAGCCAAGATGGACCCTTTTCCTAAGGTCCAGCACATTGGGGTGCTAGTTCACAATGAGAAACAGTGTATGAAGAGCAATCCATTTTTGGTGGGTCCCAAACAAGTACGTTTGCCTACTGATGTAAAAGGCTGTAAAAACATGGTTCTAACTCTCAGCTATTTTTTCCAAATCAGCAATAAGCTGTGGGTAACAATGGCACCAAATATGTCTTTGGATTTGCTTCCTTTTCTAGAGGTTGGCCTAGTAATTCCTTGCTAAATTGTTACAAGTATTACATTTCCAAAAAAATTTTTTTTAAAAGAAAATTTTGTCCAGTTTTGTTCATTGTCTTTAGGGAAAGGGTTGATCTGAAGTATTTAGTCTGCTGTGACTAGAAGTTCTCTCTCACATGTTTTCAAATATATTTTTGTTAGATATTCAGCATATTCTATGATGACAGTTACTTTCAGTCCATAAAAAATATTTTTCTATTGTCTTCTGGCTTAGGAGTTGCTGTTGAGAAGCCAGTTACCATCATTCACTTCTTTGAAAGTAATGTTTTACCTTTCTTGCCTATTTAAAATATATTCTCTTTGACTTCAATTTATTATGGTCTAATTGTGATATGTCTGAGTATAGGTTTATTAAATTTTCTTAAAATCTCTGCTGTGTTAACTTTCATTGTTGTTGGTGTTAGGTGCTAACCAGTAGGTTCCAACTCATAGCAACCCTATATACAACAGAATGAAACACTGTCCAGGCCTGCACCATCCTCACAGTCTTTGCTATGCTTCAGCCCATCATTGCAATCACTGTGCCAATCCATCTCATTGAGAGTCTTCCCCTTTTCCTAACCCTTTGCTTTACCAAGCATGATATCCTTCTCCAGGGACTGGTCCCTTCTGACAATAGCACCAAACTAGGTGAAACGAAGTCTGGCTATTCTTGCTTCTAAGGAATATTTTGGCTGTACTTCTTCCAAAACATACTTGTTCATTCTTCTGGTAATCCAAGGTGTTTTTTCAGTATTCTTTGCCAACATAACAATTTAAATGCATCATTTCTTTTTTAGTGTTCCTTATTCATTATCCAGCTCACACATGCATATGAGGCTATTAAAAATACCATGCCTTGGGTCAGGCTAATCTTACTCTTCAAAGTGACATCTTTGCTCTTTAATGGTTTAAACTGCTTTTTTTTTTTCCCCAGCAGATTTTCCCAGTGCAATACATTGTCTGATTTCTTTCTTTTTTTTTCCCTCGAAACTGGAATTTATTTATTTCAGCCAGAGAATCTGGAACAGTAAATTGTACAATATTCATAGTGGCAAAACCTGCAACAATATGGCTAACATATCCATAACATGGATTACAATGGTGGAATAGATGCTAGAAATCACTGCTCTCAGCTGATCCAATCCACAGCACCCTATAGGACCAAGTAGAATTGCTTATGGGATATATAAAACTTATATCTGGAATTTGAATATCCTGTGATGCGTCCCTCAAACAGTGCATTGTCTGATTTCTTGACTGCTGCTTCCATGGGCCCAAACCAGTCCATTTCAGTTCACAAATGCCTAGGGTATCTATCTTTATGCATTCTATTTCATTTTTGACAACTTTCAATTTTCCTAGATTCATATTTCATACATTCCTGTTCTGATTACTAATAGATTTTTGCAGCTGTTCTCATTTTGAGTTATGCCCCATCAGCAAATGAAGGTCATGATAGTTAACTCCATCCATATAATTAAAGTCAACTCTACTTTGGTGTAGCAGATCTTTCCCAGTCATATTTTGAGTGCCTTTCAACCTGATGGGTTCATCTTCTGGCCATATATCAGAAAATGTTTCAGGGCTATTCAAAAAATTTTCTAGTAATATATCAGACAGTGTTTCACTGTCTGATGAGGTTTTCATTGGCAAAGTTTTTCAGAATTGGATGGCACTATCCTTCTTTCCAGTCTGTCTTAGCCTGGACACTCTTCTGAAACCTGTCCACCTTGGGGTGACCATGCAGGTAATTGAAATACCAGTGGCATAGCCTTCAGTCCCATAACAACATGCAAGCCACCA